TAAATAAATAAATAAAATTTAAAAAATAAAAAAAAAATAAAAAATAAAAAAGTAGCCACTTTGGGGTGGTGTATTAAGTAGGTATAAAAAGACAGGATCTCCCTATGTAGCTCATTCTGGTCTTGAACTCACTATGTAGCTCATGCTGGCCTGCTGGCCTGGAACTTGCCCGATCCTTTCAGCCTACTGAGTGCTGGGCCACCAGTGAAAACTACCACGAATGGCTTTATTTATTTATTTATTGAGACAAGGTCTCATTAAGTTGCTGAATTCCCCAGACTGGACTTGAGTTTGAGATCTTCCCAAAGTACACCTACAAGCCTGGCTGAAAAGAGGCTCCAGAAGCTCTTAGGGAGTTAGCAGTGAAGGGGCCCCGGGGCTCAGAGCCAAGAGGCTAAACGATGAGACATAAGCTGTAAGTGGAGGACGCCAAGGTCTCAGCCTGGCCAGGACTTGAATCTCTTGCTGAAGAGCAGGCACCCTCTCATGCCGAACATGGAGTCCAGTTGGACCTTGACCTGAGCAGAAATAAATAAGTAAGCCCGGGAGGTGGGTCCTCAGGGTATGGCGGACTTGGAGTCAGCTCTTCACCGACCTCTTCTTTAGGCTGTCAAGATCATTACGTATAAGGAACCGGATAACCCTGAGTACTTGGAATTCCTAAAGCAGCTAAAACTCTTGGCCCATGAGCAGTTCAACTTCATCATGGAAGATGGCCTGGTACGAGGGGGTCCCAGGAGCCTTCAGTGTGGCCCTCTGTGGGTCTCCGTCCTGTCCTCTCGGCTCTGCCAGTATTTCAGGGTCTCCCTTGTCTCCTTTCCTGTTCTTCCCATATCTCTCTGGATGATTGAAGGGACAGTGGCAAGTTCAAACAGTGACACTGGGATGATGGGTCCTGCCTGATCTGCCTGGCAGGCAGGTGGAGACCAATGGTAACGCAGCCCCAGCTGTCTGGTGTGAGTGCCAGCTTCTTCTGCACCCCGCCCCACCCTGTGTCCTGGTCCCTTCTTCACCCTTCCCTGAGCTCTGCTTGGCCCCACAGGAGAACATCATCCCAGCATCCTTCCACGACGGTCTCCTGCTCTACATCCAGGCAGTGACAGAGACTGTGGCACATGGGGGGACTATCACCAATGGGGAAGACATCACTCAGAGGATGTGGAACCGAAGCTTCCCAGGTCAGGGCTTGAAGGCAATAGGAAAGGGCTGTCTTGGGGGGCAGTGAATCCTGGTACCCTAGCAGGAGGCCATCATGTGGTGGCCCCTTGCTCACACTGCTGTCTTCCTGGCCTCTAGGAGGGACCTCCATGCCATCCTCTAGCCCTCCTCCCCATCCCCAAACTCTGTCAGATCCTCCTGTGCACCAACAGCAGACATTTCCTGTGCCCTGCATAGCTGTCCCTGCACGTGCATGTCTTTGGAGACCAGAGATAGAGCGATGAAGTGGGCATGCCTGCACTTCTGCTCTCTCAGAACACAGTCCCTGTCCCCTGTGCCTATAGGTGTGACAGGCTACCTGAAAATCGACAGCAGCGGAGACCGGGAGACGGACTTCTCCCTCTGGAATATGGATCCTGACACTGGCGCCTTCAGGGTGCGTTCATGCACGTAGAAGATTGTGCCAGCTTGGATTATCTCGCCTCTTCGGGCTCCCTCCCAGCCCTGCCAAGGCAGCTGTCAGTTCTGTGGTCACCCTGCCATGCTGGTGTACCCATGAGAGCCCTGCTTGTGAGCGACCCAGTCTGGAAGCACAGCTAGAATGATACACGTCCCCCTTGGGAACCTATGTCTGAGGAGGGGTAGGGTAGGCAGACGCCCTCCTAGAAGAATCAGGACAGGGCCAGGGGATGGTGTCTGCTCGGCTCTGCATGCAGCAAGGAAAGGAAGGGACTGAAGCCAAAGGCAGCAAGGACCAGATCCTCCAGTGAAGGCTTCCCAGGTAGCGTTCACAGCTTAGGCTGCAGAGTGTGGCTCTGAGACCCTTGGCCATGGGTCACAGAGGAATGGACAGACCCTGGCCCCCCAGACACAGGTGCTGGCAGCAAAGACGACATGGGAGGCAGAACTCCCCCAGGAGACCCCAGCCAGGCCCTGCCACAGCCACTCCTGCTCTCCCATAGGTTGTGCTGAACTACAATGGGACTTCTCAGAAGCTGGTGGCTGAGTCAGGGCGTGATCTGTACTGGCCCATGGGGTACCCTCCTCCTGATGTCCCTAAATGTGGTTTTGACAATGAGGACCCAGCCTGCAGCCAAGGTGACTGCCCCATCCAAGAAGCTGCCCCTCCCCAAGGGGGAGCTCGGCAGGGGAGAAGAAGGCTTGAGACAACATGTCTTCCTATTTTTTTTTCCCCTTCATCTATCATCTCAGTTTACCAATTGACTGTTAGAACTTTGCCCTTACGCTCAACCACGTCTTTCTTACCGTTTGGACTCTCCTGCAGGCAACTTTTCCACCCTGGAGGTACTGGCAGTGGTGGGAGGCCTCTCGATGCTCAGCATCCTGATCATCTCCTTCTTTGTATACAGGTGAGCTATGGCACAGGAGCTTGGAGAGAGGCTGGGGCTGGGGCCCAGCAGGAAGAGGGGGAAAGCCTTACAGAGAGGGAGCAGGAAGAGGGAATGGGATGGGGGGGGCAAGAATGGGCGTGGCCTGAGGGGAAGCGGGTGACAGCAGAGTAGGGTGGCTCTGGTCTAGAACTGGTTCTCCCTGTGCTCCTGCGGTGGGTCAGACCGTAGGGCTGCCAGAAGTGAGGGTGCAGCCTGCCATCCCAGCATTCTGGGAGGCTGAGATAGAGAAATGGCAGATCCAAGCCCAGCCTGGGAAGTGTAGCAATTAAGAGTCTGGCTCCGAAATTTTTTATTTTTGACACAGGCTGTCAGTATGTAGTTCAGCCTGCCCTCAAACTCACAGTGATCCTCCTGGCCTTAGTTTCCCAAGTGTTGGGATTACAGGCATGTGCCACCACACCTATCACACACAATCCTTCATTTTATTCCTATAATAGTTAAGAAAGAAAGAAGGGCTGCGGAGATAGCTCAGCAGTCTAAGTGCCTGCCTAGGCAAGCACAAGGACCTGGCTTTAATCCCCCACATCACATGCTGCGTCAGCCCTGCCCAGGTGCACCAAGCTGGCCACAAGACTGGGCCTGGTGGCACATGTCTGTAATCCCAGTGCTGGAGAGGCTGAAATAGGAGGATCACTATGAGTCTGAGTTGAGTAGTGAGACCCTGTACCAAATATATACGTATGTATAGAAAGAGAGCTGGGCATAGTGGTTCATAGAGACAAACAGATCACAGGTTTGAGATCTATCTGAGCAATTTAGTGAAATCCTGTCTCAAGATCAAAAGGCTGGGGCTGTAGCTCAGTGGTAGATTACCTCTGGCATTAATCTCTAGTACCTCAAAAAGGAGGGAAGGAGAAGGGAAGGGAAGGGAAGGGATTCTGACCCTGCCAAATGCCTGCTGCTTCTGTGGTTGCCCTACTATACCAGGACACCTGCAGAAGTCCTGGATACAATGGATGGCAGAACAGCCAGGATGATAGGATCCCCCAGGGAGGGGGTTATGGATGCCCCTGACTCCAGAGGACGGCACCGAGATTACCCCAGGGTCCCCAGTGAGGGACAAGTTTACCCCGGCCTCCTGGCACCAAGCCTAGGAGAGAGACATCCCCTGTTCATCTTAGGACATGCCATGGTCCTAGGGCCCTGGGGGGCTCTGTAGCACCCCACCCACCTGCCCAGGCTGGGGGTCAGACATGAGCTCAGCTACAGGCTTCATGTCCAGGAAGATGCAACTGGAGAAGGAGCTGGCCTCGGAGCTGTGGCGGGTGCGCTGGGAGGACGTGCAGCCCAGCAGCATGGAGAGGCACCTCCGGAGTGCAGGCAGCCGGCTGACTCTGAGCGGGGTGAGCACCTGTCGGGGGAGACCTGGGTGCCCAGGGTGGTGGCAGTGGCAGGGAGGGGGCAGGGTTCTACACCCAGCCCTGCCTTCAGGTGCTATGTGACAGTCCCTCTCTGACAGTCTCAGATGACAATGCCAGCTCCAGAGCCTCCCTCTCGGGGCAATTTCAGAGGTCAGGGGAGTAGTATATGCGGAGGCACAAAGCAAGTGAATGGCGAAAGGTTCCCATTCCGTGGACTACGAAGAAGGGTGCAACATGGTGAGGCCTGGGTGGTAGAGAACCAGAGCTCTTGGCTGGGGATGGTGGCACCTGTCTCTAACCCCAGCACTCTGGAAGCCAGAGGCAGGAGGATTGAGTTCAAGCACAGCCTGGGCAACTTAATGACTTTAGTGAGACCTTGTCTCTAAATAAACAGTAAGAAGCGTGAAGATTCTGGGTGGGTTCAATCCCCATTACTCCAAGTAAACAAAGAAATGAAAGACCCCTGGCTGCCCCTGGATGCAGACGGGCTGTGGGCTGACCATGCCTCCTGCTCTCCACCCTCCAGAGAGGCTCCAATTATGGCTCCCTGCTAACCGCAGAGGGCCAGTTCCAGGTCTATGCCAAGACCGCGTACTATAAGGTGGGTTGGGGATAGACTGCTGGTACCCAGGCTGGGGTGGTGGCATGCTCTTAGGGGTACTTGGGGGGTCCAGGCATGGGCTATCAGGCCAGTCAGTCCTCCCACTGCATTGGGTGGTGCTTGGCTCAGTGGCAGTCTTGTTTCTTTTTTTATTTTCTTCCAGTTTTCGGGGGGCTGGGGAGATGGCTCAGTAGAATAAACACTTCTCTAGCAAGTTCAAGGGCCTGAGTTCAATCCCCAGTTCCGCAAAAAAAAAAAAAAAAGTGTGTTGTTATTTTCTTCCAGTTTTCATTTTTTATTAGCACGTGTTGGCAGCCCACAATAATGGCATTCCTTTTGTGGAGTTGGTTCCTGTACACCACACATCTCAATCCTTTTTCATTCCCTCTCCCTTCCCTGTCCCTCCCCTCTCTGCATTCCTTGTTGCCCTTCCCATTTGAAAAAGATCTACCTCCCCCCACAATCTATCTTCTGTTTTGCTCCTCACTTACCTTTGGGTATCTCTTGCTCAGGGCAATCTCGTGGCTGTGAAACACGTGAACCGTAAACGCGTTGAGCTGACTCGGAAAGTCCTGTTTGAACTGAAGCATGTAACGTGGGGGCACGAGGTGGTGGTCGGGGGAAAGGTCCCATGGGGAGACCAGTAGTCTTATTGGCCAAGCTGGTGCTGGCGGGACCTCACGACACCTTGGGAAAACCAGGGTCCGCAGGTTCAGGATGGGCTCTTGGGATGGAGCGACTGACCCCATGATAGGAGAACCTGGAAGAACAGGCCTGAGGGCCAGAGTATGATGCTCCTGGGGTGGGCCGGGGGCTCAAGAACACAGGTGGGAGCCACACTGTGAGTCCCAGTGATGTCTACAAATAGGGAGGGAGGCTGCAGAGGAGGCCTGAGTTCTGTCAGGTCCCTGATGCTGTCCCCCACCCCACAGATGCGAGATGTGCAGAATGAACACCTGACCAGGTTTGTAGGCGCCTGCACGGACCCTCCCAACATCTGCATCCTCACTGAGTACTGTCCTCGGGGGAGCCTGCAGGTGAGAAGGACAGGCCTGGGTCATTCCCTCTTTCTGACCTCAACTGGCCCCCTATAGAGCGAGGGGGGGTGATGATGGCACTGGAGTAAACCTGAAGTGTTGCCCTGTTCTGCCAGTTCATGTCTGTGGGGCCCCTCTAACTTGCTCCCATTGCCGGGGGTCTGTGGGGTACAGTCTGAGCCCCCGGTCCCTGCAGGACATTCTGGAGAACGAGAGCATCACCCTGGACTGGATGTTCCGGTATTCGCTCACCAATGACATCGTCAAGGTGGGCCGAGGGGAGCCTGTGGGCTGCAGGGAGAGGCCTGGGCGTGCTTCTCCTGGCTGTGGCTTAGGTTCCACTCTGCCTCCCCACTCTTCCCAGGGGATGCTGTTTCTACACAACGGGGCCATTTGCTCCCATGGGAACCTCAAGTCCTCCAACTGTGTGGTAGATGGACGCTTTGTGCTCAAGATCACCGACTACGGCTTGGAGAGCTTCCGGGACCCAGAGCCTGAGCAAGGACACACTCTCTATGCCAGTGAGCCCAATTCTCATCTACCCCCTGCTGCCAGGACAGCCCAGGAGGGAGCCTGAGGCCAGGCCTCCCTGGGCTGGTTCTGCCTGTCCTGACTGCAGGCTCAGTTCTCACTGGTAAAAAGGGAGGGACCAGACTACTGGGTTGCACAGCCTCTTTTTACCCTCAGCACTGGGTGTGAGGTCCAGACCTGACCTGGCCACATCTCCTAAAACACTTTCCCTCACCCTACCCACCTGAATCACCCCTTTATCACTTTATTCTGATTTTCATCATTGCCACAGGGTATTATAGTCTCTTGCTAAACTTGTTGCTTAGCTCTGGGGTTCCTTACTCTGTGACTTCTAATCTCTGACTCCAAGAAAAGCTGTGGACAGCCCCTGAGCTCCTCCGAATGGCTTCTCCTCCTGCCCGGGGCTCCCAGGCTGGCGACGTGTACAGCTTTGGCATCATCCTTCAGGAGATAGCCCTGAGAGGTGGGGTCTTCCACGTGGAAGGTTTGGACCTCAGCCCCAAAGGTGAGAAAACCACACTGTCCCTTATCCCTACTGTGGGATCAACCCCAGCCTCCAGGAAGGGGACCCCTGGAAGCACCCCTCTGGATGAGGCTCAGCCACCAGCTTGCCCCACTGCTGTAGAGGCCAACCTCCCTGCTCCCTATCCTGGACTCCCAGGCCCTGGACTTTCCAGGTCACCCCAGCTGGTGTCCCTGACTCCCTCCAGATCCCTGGCTAACCCTACCCTCAGCCCCTCTCTCCCCACAACAGAGATCATTGAGCGGGTGACCCGGGGTGAGCAGCCCCCCTTCCGGCCCTCCCTGGCCCTGCAGAACCACCTAGAGGAACTGGGGCAGCTGATGCAGCGCTGCTGGGCAGAGGACCCCCAGGAGCGGCCTCCCTTCCAGCAGATCCGCCTGACACTGCGCAAGTTCAACAGGTCATTGGTGTTGGTCACAGAGCCCCTTCCTCTCTACGCTACAGCCTCCAGAAGTCTGTCCCTGCAGCAGTAGACAGAGCCCACCACAACCCATACAGCCACCTCAGCCCTCTGCAAATAATCCATGATTTGGCTCTCCATGATTTGGCTCTCCTCATGGTCTCCTACCATTCCTCCTGCTTTCTCCCAGCTACATCAGCACCCCACACACTTTCTGCAGCACTAGCCCGCAGACTACAGAGTAATTTGGCCTCACACTGCTGGCCTCCACCCCCTTTCAGACCTTTCCACAAGCTCCCACCCTGATGTTTGCCTTCCTTTTCCAGTGTGCCCCTTGTCCGGGGGCCGGTTCTCCTGAACAGCCCTCTGCTGCCTGTGCTCCTGTCACTTTGTCCTCCACTGCTGTTTGTCCCTGCTCACCTCCTGACTTTTTTTTGGTGGAACCAGGGATTGAACTCAGGCCCTTGTGCTTGCCAGGGAAGCGCTTATCCTACTAAGCCATCTCCCTGCCCCGAACCTCTTGACTCTCTAGTGCTCAATAAACCCAAACAGGATGTGGCTGCAACTGAGGCACCATACTTGACACAGGATCTCAGACACAAATTGAACTTTCTTCCTGCCCTTTCCCCCATTCTGTGGTGCCAGGCGGGTACTCCAGGGCTGAGGTGTGGGCCTTCTCTCACCCATGCCCCTCCCACAGGGAGCAGAGCAGTAACATCCTGGACAACCTGCTGTCACGCATGGAACAGTACGCTAACAACCTGGAGGAGCTGGTGGAGGAGCGCACGCAGGCCTACCTGGAGGAGAAGCGCAAGGCCGAGGCCCTGCTCTACCAGATTCTGCCTCAGTGAGTACCCAGCTCCAGGGACGGGGGGCAGCCTTTGCATACCGCAGTCCTGGTCCCCACCTCACCTCACCTCCGCCCCTCATCTGCACCTGCCCTGGCCCCTCAGCTCAGTGGCCGAGCAGCTAAAGCGCGGGGAGACCGTCCAGGCAGAAGCCTTTGATAGCGTGACCATCTACTTCAGTGACATTGTGGGTTTCACTGCGCTGTCAGCAGAGAGCACGCCCATGCAGGTAAGCCGGGGCTCAGCTATGGTTGGCAGGCCTGGTGAGTTGACATGGGTCGTTTCTGCATCTGTCCCTGAGGTCTCAGCCCCGGGTGGGGGCCTAACTCTATACTCCACTTGGCTTTTCTTGCCTTCCAGGTGGTGACCCTGCTCAATGACCTGTATACTTGCTTTGATGCTGTCATAGACAACTTTGACGTCTATAAGGTGAGGGAACCAGTAGGGCTAGGAAGGGACAGGCACAGACAGTCAGAAAGAGGTGAGGAGACCAGGGTATATGGGCAGAGACAGTGACCCAGGGGACCTAGAAGCAGGCAGAGAATTCACAGGGATGGGGATGAGGACAGAGGGCAGCAGGTAGAAAGGATGCTGTACATGGTACAGAGGGCAGGTGGCCCGGGGAAGAGTTCTGGCCCTCGGCTCTTGCCCTATCCTGCTCCCCGCTCCATACCCCCCAGGTAGAGACAATTGGTGATGCCTACATGGTGGTTTCGGGGCTACCAGTTCGAAATGGGCGGCTCCATGCCCGCGAGGTGGCCCGCATGGCCCTGGCGCTGCTGGAGGCTGTGCGCTCCTTCCGCATCCGACACCGGCCCCAGGAACAGCTGCGCCTGCGCATAGGCATCCACACAGGTGAGGCCGCTACAGATCTCGGGGACCTGTGGGGAGGAGGCATTGTCCCTGGGCCCAGTGCCCCCTAAGACAGCTGCCCCTCCTGGGGGGCACCGAACACATATGCTGCCCTCCCTTGCTGGAGATGGGCTCTGTCCTGGCCTCGCTCTCTAGGACCCGTGTGTGCTGGTGTGGTAGGCCTGAAGATGCCCCGTTACTGCCTCTTTGGAGACACAGTCAACACAGCTTCGAGGATGGAGTCAAATGGGGAAGGTAGGCTGCCCTCCTCGATGGAGGAGCAGGGCTGGGCAGCCAAGGGTGGGCCTTCCTGCACAGACCTTGTGCTCGCTCCTCCCCTGCTCCCTGCTCTGGTGCCAGTACTCTCCCTTTGTGGGTTACCTTGCAAGTTGCAAAAGCATTCTCACACCTACTGCAGAACACCTTGGCTTAGTCTGGCCAACTCCAAGTGTGCTCAGAGCCCTGCACCAGGTGATGGTCCAAACCATCCAACACAGTGCTTATTTTACCAAAGAAAAGAGTTGAACATTTCACACGCAAGCTCAGATGGGTTTTTTGTAGACATGGGAGGTAGAAATAAAATATGATGTCCAGAAAAATATGGTTCACACAGTATAATCCAGAGGACCAGTTTTACCTGCATGGTCACTGCTGCTGCCCAGAGTCACAGGAAAGGACATCACTAGCCCAGGGAAAGATCAAAATTCATCCAGCATAGTGGTGCATGCCTGTAATCCCAGCACTACGGGAGACCAAAACAGGAGGATCCCGAGTTCAAGCCAGCCTGGGCAATTGAGCAGTTTAGTGACATCCTGTCTCAAAATAAAAGTATTTTGGCCGGGGGAGATGGCTCAGTACGATAAGCGCTTGACTGGCAAACGCAAGGATCTGAGTTCAATCCCCGGTTCCGAAAAAATAAAAAAAAAAATAAATAAAAGTATTTTTTCAAGGGCTGGGAATGTAGCAGAGGCTCTGGTTTCAATTCTCAGCACTACTGAACTGCATCCCTGTTATACCTGCTTAAACAGGAAATTGTAAATAGGACAGTGGTAAGTCAGGGACATGCAGTTCCCACTGGGCGCAGGCATGTGGTGCTGAGTGGGAGAAACCACCCCCCACTTGCCAGAAGGCTTTACAGTGTTTGCAAGCCAGTGTTGAGCAGTGCTCAGCAGGGGTCCCCATCCAAGGGTCACCTCTCAGCTGTGCTGTGGGAGAGGTGGCTGCAGGGTGAGCGCCTTGTGAAGCTCAGTCCACATCGGCTGTGTGCTCAGCTGTTGAATCTCACAGACCTTTGACTTTCGTTGTTGACGGTAAAGAGGGTAAAATAATCTACCTCATAAAGGTGACGTGAGACCGCTGTCTAAAACACCTGGAATGTAACTGTCACTTACCTTTCTGAGTCTCCCCCATAGTGACTCCTACATCAGGGTTGTAGAGTGTAGAGCTGGGCATGCTAGCACATGCCTGGAATCCCCGCTCTGGAGAGGGTGAGGCAGGAGGATCACCGCAGAGTTGAGGCCAGCTTAAACTATATAGTGAGAATCTGCCTCAAAGGGCCAAAATAAAAACACCCCTAGCACAGTCACTGGCATATAATAGGTCTCTAATCAATGTTTGTTTTGACCCCTTTCTTGGCCTTGCTTTTGTTTCTTGTCTATCTTCCCGTATTTCGACCTAGTTCAACTCAATACAGGATCTTGCTATGTAGTCCAGGCTGGTCTTAAGATCACTATGTGAATGTGTTAATTATTGAAACTGTCCTACCAATTTGGTTTGAAACTGTCTCATTGCTATTTGTTTCTCAATAAATTTATGGAAAAAAAAAGATCACTATGTGAGGCCTTGAACTCTTAACCAGTCCTCCTGCCTTAGTCTCCTAAGTTCTGGGATAGGCATGTGCCACCACGCCCAGCTTCGGTTCAGTAAATATTTGTGGACCAGTTACTAAATGCCAGGCTGGGAGTTACATTAGGAGCCCGTGTGAACCCCATCCCAGGCTCATTGGTGGAGAAGTGTGGAGTTAGAGTCAGCATTGGAGGGAGTTGCCTCAGCAGATGTTCTCTGGGCCCCGTGTCTTGGGCCTGGGGTAGGAGAGCCTCCTGCTGAGGTCCATTCCTCACATTCCTCCAGGAGCTCATTCCCAGAAAGGGCTCAGCAACAGGAGGCTACTGTGATGCAGGCCTAAGGAGTAAGGTCATGAGTTCAGAGAGGAGCCAAAGAGAACAGGGGCTAGAGGGCCCCCTCCAACACCGACCACCCACCCTCAACGCAGCTTCCAGCCGTAAAATGAAAGTATGGAGTCAAGTGCGAACAGTGACAGCAACAAGTTACATAGTGCCTGACACATTCTGTTTAAATACTTTTTGAATATGCAATTAAATCCAAAAACAGTTGTTTATTATTATTATTATTATTATTATTATTATTATTATTATTATTATTATTGCAGTACTGGGGAATCAAACCCAGGGCCTTATGCATATTGGGTGCTCTATCACAGAGCTACTTCTCTAGCCCAAATATTAAATGTAATCCTCACAGGACCAGCAAAATATCTCAACAGACTAAGTGCCTGCTTAGGCAAACGCAGGGACCCGGGTTCCATCCCTGGCATCACATGCTGAACTGGCCATGCCCCTGGGCATGGTGACATGCCTGTAATCTCAGCTCTAGAGAAGTTGAAAACAGGAGGATCACTAGGAGTCTGAGCTGTGTAGTGAGACCCTGTACCAAATACATTATAAATAAATAAATTTAATTCTCACAATAGCATCAAAATAGGGTTGTCACAATCAGCATTTTAAAGATTAGGAAAATGAGACACAATTTATATAACTTACCCCAAGCTGGGAGCACACCAAGGCGAAGCAAGACCCATATGGCAAGCCTGTACCCATCGGCTGTCCTGAGTCCCTGGAGTGGTTGCCACTGCAGAGCTATACACTTTTGGAAATGCTCTGTAATCTGTGCTGTCTAGTAATGTAGCCTTTCGTCACATGTGACAGTTGTCACAATTAATTCATTTAATCAATTGAAATATATCTAGTGAAAATCAGGCACTGAATATTTTTCTTGTTTCTCTGTTTGGGTGTTTTTTTGTTTTGTTTTTGGCAGAACTGGGGATTTAACTCAGACCCTTGCCACTTGCCAGGGAAGCGCCTACTCTACCGAGCCATCTCCCCAGCTCCTGTCTGTTGTTTTGTTTTGGTTTTCTGGGACAGGGTCTTTCTACATAGTGCAGGCTAGGGCTGGGGATTTAGTTTAGTGGCACACAGCACCTGCTTGTTAAGTGTAAGGTCATGAGTTTGAGTCCAGGTACTACTATTACTATTACTATTACTATTACTATTACTACTACTAGTACTACTAATAATAAATACATAGTCCAGGGTGACTTTTTTTTTTTTTTTATCTTTTTGAGACAGACTGTCACTATAGTCCAGGATGGCCTTGAACTCACTACGTAGCCAAGACTGGTCTTGAACTCAAAGCAGTCCTCCTACCTCAGCCTGTTTCTGGGATTTTTTTTTTTTTTAAATCTTTTTGAGACAGGGTTTCATTAATACGTTCAGGCTGGCCTTAAACTCAAACCAATCCTCCTCCCTCAGCCTCCCAAGAGCTGGGATTACAGGTGTGCGCCACCACGCCAGGCCTACCTCAGCCTCTTGAATGCTGAGAAGCAGGTATATGGCATCATGCCTGTTTTAAGGCACTGAAGCTTTAGGTGCATTTAATTTTAACAAGGCACAGTCATATGTGGCTGCTGCTACCGTACTGGATAGCACAGGTCTCAGCTGCTAAAGATCCAGTGATGTCACACATTGCATGGAGAAAGGGCATCTGTCCACCCAGAGTCCCTAGTCCCTTCTGCACTTAGCTACTTCCGCCCCAGGCCTCCCTCACCTGCACTGTTGCCTGTCCCATCAGCCCTGAAGATCCACTTGTCTGCTGAGACCAAGGCTGTCCTGGAAGACTTCGATGGCTTTGAGCTGGAACTTCGAGGAGATGTAGAAATGAAGGTAGAAGAGGAAGCTCTGGCTTCACCACAGTGGCCCTGGGCTAACCCTTCTCACGCAGCCGAGGGCACTCCCATCCCTAGACCTCTCCTGGATGGGATGGTGGGCGCACCACTCTCTGCCCCACCCTTGTCCCCTTTCTCCTTCCAGGGCAAAGGCAAGGTCCGCACCTACTGGCTCCTGGGAGAGCGGGGAAGTAGTACCCGAGGCTGACCTGCCGCCCTGCAGTCCCTCCTCGTCCCTCCTCTCCTCCCTGGCCGGCCGGTCCTCCCCTTCCTCAGCAGCTGAAGGGCTGGAGATGTGGTTTGAACAGCTCAGCTCTGCTGACCCCAGAGGAGGCACCAGATGTGACCTCTGAGAAGAGGACTGGTATGGGGGAGAACTTGGAGCTCACAGGCCTACCCACTGGCACCATGGCCATGTGCAGAAACACGTGTGCTCAGGCAGAGACACAGAGTCCTGATCTTCGCTCCTCAGCCTTGCTACACTGTGACTTATGGGGGAGAGAAATTAGCACCTGGGTGGGAAAGTGAAAAGAGACTAGGAGGTGAATGGAGGGGGTGGGGGAAACCAGATCTGGCACTGGCCCCTGAGGGCCACAGCTACTCCCTCCAGCTCCACCCTGTCCCTGCCACCCACCCTCCACCCTGCAGTGAATACAGACTTGTGGGGGAGACGCTAGGCCTGCATGCCTCACTGCCCCTTACACAGACACCATTAAAGTCTTTATTCCCGTGGCAGCATCTCTTCTTGAAAAAGAAGTTTGCAACACGGCCTCGTGCGACACGGCCTCGAGCTCCACCCTTGGTTTCCAGAGGACCATTTCTCAAGCTGGGAACTGGAGATCTGGAAAGGGCTGTGGTTATCTTCCACTTTGAGGAGACCATAGCAGAGCCTAGTGGAGACTTCATGGAGAGCCCTAAGGAGCTCTTGTTGGTGCATTAGGAATTAGAACAACAACTAAGAGAAAAGAAACCTTTATGAATTCATTTTGGATAACAATGATAACAGTATCACATACTAATTTTGTACTACTTTATCAAGGACATGCTTGAGAGAAACTGCCCTTTTCACCACGTGGTAGGGAAGGGGGGGCAAGGAGTTTACCACTGTCTGGATGTTAAATGAAGGGGACAGGGTTAACCCCACTGCTTCTCCACTTGCTGTACCAATGTCAACATACCTCCAAAGCCAGATGTGCTAGTGTTGTGAAAATCAGTGGGCCCGAACCTCCACTATGCCTCCAGGGACTACATGATCTGTGGTGCACACGTAGCTACCCTCCCAGCATGGATAGCACGGGTAACACGATTAGTGTGCACCCAGTTGGTGAGATCTGGGAGCTAGAAGTGGGAACATGCGGGTCCATTTTAAACTCACTTGAGATTTGAGGATTGTCTACCTGCCCCTCCACTCCCTATGCTAGTGCAGACAAATGTGAGTTTGCGAAATGCCTCTCTGCTGGGCTCTGGACCCTCCTTGCCCTGCTCAGGCTACCCAACCCAACCCCCCTCCTAGGCAGGCAGGCAGGCAGGAATGCGGGGGAGAGGTGCCTGTGGCCTTACCTCCCCCATGGGGAAAGAAAGTGCCAGACATTTCTTCAGTACCATCCATCAAGTGCCGACAGGCCTCTCCCCTGACCTCCCAGCCTCTTCCTGGAGCCCATGCCAAGTGGATCTGGAGGTCGGGGTGGGCTATAAAGCATGCCCCCCTCTACAAGAGCAGAGGGTTGGAGAATGAAGAAAGGATAAATTGTTTTCCTTCCTGTCCAGTCTCTTCTGGATCTTGTGTGCTTCCTATCCGCCCCTTTTGGCCCATGTCAGACTTGATTTATTGGGAGAGGGAGCTTGCGTGGTCACGTCCTTCTCACCAGCCAAGCTGGGGATGAAAAACACCCGAGGAGGCCTAGCAAAGATGGTTGCCTGGGCAACCACAGCACACTCTGTTTCCTGTGGGCCCTCGTGGCCATGTTGACTCCCTTGCCCCAATTCTTCCTCCCAGGAGTAGTAGATGACCTCAAAAGAGAGCGATTGTGACAGAGAACCGAGGGCCCTGAGCAGCCAGGCGCAGGAAGTGGGCTGGGACATCTAGAGGCACTTGGGCTTTGGGGAAGCCAGGCTGGGGGATGAGGTGGAGAGGGTGGGTGGGGAGCTGGATGACCGAGGAGCGAGGAGCTCCGGCGAGACAATTCTAGGAAATCGCTGCTCAGATCCTTCCGGGGCAGCCGGCTCCACTGGGCACTAGGCGGGGAGGGGGCCGAGGTGGGTCCCGGAGAGGCCCGAAGGAAGGGTCCACGGTTGCAGCAGCTCGAGAACTTTCACTAGAACGGAGGAGACTTCCTTCCGCAGGAAGGCCCCTGAAGCCAGGAAGAACTGGGAAAACCATTACTCAGGAGGGGAGGAGGGGAGCAGGAGATCGCTGTGTGCACGGAGCCGCCTCTGGCCTCGGCTTCCCCGATGTCCTGCCTCGTGAGCTTGGGGTGCTGGGTCGGGGGCAGCAGGATTTCCCTACAGGCTGATGAAAGCCATAACTGCGAGTAGTAACTGGCCTTCATGGATGCCTTAAAATTGACAAAGGCTTTCGCATACATTATCTCATCAGCCCACGTGACACCCAAGGGGGACAGCCCAGCTGAGGGCCAGCTGCGGGTAGGAGGACCCAGTGGAGACTGTACGGAGAGAGAAGCCCAGGCCAACCAGCTCTCAAGGCCAGGACCTGGAAAAAATAGAGCCAAAGGAAGCAGACAGCTATCCTTCCCCAGCCCCCGGTTGTCTCTACAAAGAGCTTGGGAAATTCATTTATCACAGTAGTACATTTAGTAATTTTTTTAAAAAAAGATTTGTACCTGTCAGTACACAGCCATGGACTCTAATTAGCAGCAGAGGCCAAATTTGCATCCTGAAAGTGATTTTTTAAAATTAAATTGCAGGAGCTATATTTTTTTTTTTCTTTTGGTCTTTTTTAAAGCAGTCTCCCTATGCAGTTCAGGCTGGCCTTGAATTCACTTTGTAGCCCAGGTTGATCTCAAATTCGGAATGATCGTCCTACCTCAGCCTCCCCCCAGGTGCTGGGATTACAGGTGTACACCACCATGCCTGGGTCCTAAATTTTTATTTTTTGGGGGGGGACTTGGAATCAAACTCATGACCTCACACTTGCCAGACAGGTGCTGTACCGCTGAGCTATATTCCTGGCGCCTAATTTTTTTTTTTTTTTTTCCTGAACCAGGGATTGAACTCAGACCCTTGTGCTTGCCAGGGAAGCACTTATTCCACTGAGCCATCTCCCTGGTCCCCCTAAAATATTTTAAAATAATTTTTTTTTTTTTTTCTGAACGGAGGAGTGAACTCAGCCCCTTGTGCTTGCCAGGGAAGCACTTATTCCACTGAGCCATCTCCCTGGTCCCCCTAAAATATTTTAAAATAATTTTTTTTTTTTTTTCTGAACGGAGGAGTGAACTCAGCCCCTTGTGCTTGCCAGGGAAGTGCTTATTCTACTGAGCTACACCCTCAGCCCCTAAAATAAATTAACTAATAAAAATAATAACATTTTTTAAGTTTGGTTTGGGGAGATAGGTCAGTAGAATAAGCACCTGCCTGGCAAGCGCAAGGTCCCCAGTACTGCAAAATAAATAAGTATATAAATAAATAAATAATAAATAATGCCATCCAGGGAGATCTAATCTCACTGGGTTGGAACATAAGATTCCAGGCAGAGTGAGGATGGTCAGTCAAGATGCTGATAAATTTGATGTTGCAAAAAGCTGAGGTAAAAAATAAAAAATAAAAAGCCGAGGTGACAGCACATGCTGCGCTGGCCCTGACCCCACGCACGCTGAGCCAGCCACTGAGACCGGGCATGGTGGCACATGTCTGTGATCTGAGCACTGGGGAGGCTGAAAACAGGAGGATCGCAAGGAGTCTGAGCTTCATGTTGAGACCCTGTACCAAATACATAAAAAATAATAATAAATAATAATAAACCAGAGGTGAAGTCAGAATAGCAGTATGCACCCGCAAGCCCAGCTACTCAGCAGACGGAGGCCGGAGGATCACTGTAAATTCAAGACCACCTTGGGCTACAAAGTGAGTTTAAGGATACCCTGGACTGCACCACTGAGATTTTCTGACTCAGAAACATTGGAATGGGGGGATGGAAGAGCAGAGGCAGGGATCCTTCTGAAGGATAGGAGGCCACACCCATGCCTGTTCCCCGACCCTATTCCACCAGGAAGAGGAAGGCAGGACACAGGAAACCACTCTATCCCACCTCCCCACCCCTTTTCCGGAACCAAAGATTGAACTCAGGCCCTTGTGCTTGCCAGAGAAGCACTTATTCCACTGAGCCATCTCCCTGGCCCCCTTCCCCACTCCTTTTTGTTACAGACAGCTGATCTGAGTGAGTGGTTGGCTGGTTGCCCTGCAAGAATCCTTGCAAAGCAATGTGTGGAGGTGCACGCCCGTAATCCCAGCACTCAAGAGGCTGAGACAGGAAGATTGCTGTGTTATAACAAGCCAGCCTGGGTTAGAAGTACAAGGCCAGCCTGAACTACATAGTGAGACCCTATTAAAAAAAAAATGGTGTGGGATATCACATTTTATTTTTATTTTTTTTGCAGGACGGGAGATTGAACTCAGTACCCTGAGCTTGCCTGGCAAGTGCTTATTCTACTGAGCTATCTCTCCAGCCCCGATATCACATTTTATTGTCATAAACTATAGTATTACTATATTGTGAGGTGAAAACAAAAACAAAAACACAAGAGAAAGTTGGGGAGGCTGAGACAGTTCAGACACCAAGACTAAGTGTCTGAACTACGTAGCAAGACCCTGTATCAAATAAATAAATAAATAAATAAATAAATAAATAAAAATTTTAAGCAAGAGAGATCACTACCTATGAAAAAAATTATAGGACTGGAGAGATGACTCAGTGGTCTAAAGCACCTACTTGGAACAAGCTTGGCAAAGCACAGGGACCACAGTTCAATCCCCCAGCACCA